TTTGAAGATCCTCGGCCGTTAGCCAATCAAAATCGAGGATCTGCCGCGCATTTTTTGTGCGGCACCTAGGTTCAATGATTCATTGATTTTTGCGGCACTGCGTGAAATGCAGAAAATCATTGGCCCTGGTCCAGACTGGTCTTAAGACTAACTGTGGTCTATTAGTCTAATTGATAGTTATAAACCAAATCGATAGTAACATGCAAATTCAACAATCTATAATTCCGTTGTTAATAACATACTCTGCTAAAACATCCAGCTATAATTGCTATTTTTGTTTTACTATAGATTGTTCTCTTTTATCGTATTTAACTAAATAACGCGCAGGGTGTAATTTCAAATTTTGGCCCAAATTAAGCCTAATTCGGGCCATTATTCTAAATTACGTGAAAAATACGGTAAGTTAAAAATACAGCGTGTTTAAGAAATTATATACGTATCATTAAATTGAACATTTAACCGAAGGAGCAATTGACTAGAACTAATTTTTGACATAAATATAATTAAAGTCTGATTAAATTTTATATTAATAAAATTGTCTAAAGAACACTACAGACGGAGCAATAGTACACCTGATGTCTATGTGTTGGATCTTGATTGGTTGTTTATAATGTAAAATTTTTAATTCGTATGGTATAAATGCCCTACTTTAAAATCAATACCATACTGATCCGGTACTGTATATCGTCAAAGTTAGCGTAATTATAGCAGATTATATAGTATGGTATTATTTTTAAAATAGGTATTTTCTATACCATACAATTCAGATTATCCAGATCTTCTGTAATCTCGTCCTTCAGACCTTTAATAGCTTATATTTTCCTAGTATATAATATAAATCATCGATCAATACATTATAAAGCGAGAAAAAGATAATACATTAAAATTGGGTAATAAAGAGCGATACATTATCGGTAAGGTGGTAGATAAAAGCGATGCATTGTATATAGTAATAAATTATAAATGGTGTAGTAAAAGTAATATGTATTGATGAGATAGAAGTGATAGGTGAAAACATTATAGAAAGTTAGGGCCGTTAATGGATCAGAGTAGAGATGCGATCCGTTATCCGTTTTCCTATTTAAAATTTAACGGATATCCGAATATCCGGATTCTTTATAATAATTTTGTTATAAAATTAAATTAGCGGATATCCGGATCGCATCTCTAGATCAGAGTAATCAGGCCACTTCATACTGGTGTGATTTATATGTTACACGCTAGATAATGTTGGCTGGTGGGATTTTTTTAGAGTCCGCGTGAGATTTTAATATGATCCCATCTGGCCGGCATTACCAGTCACCTGACTGGCATTAGTATAATTCCTGGCCTGCCTTAACATATGGGGGACCAAGCAAATGTTTCTAAGTAAAATTTTTTTAAACTTTAAATTAAAATATCTCAACAACTATTAAACCAAACTTGATAAAAATTTTTTTATTTTAATTCTTAGTTGTTTAGATATTTTAATTTAAAGTTTTAAAAAAAATTTAATAAGTATCATACTTAATATATTTTTATATAGATACGTGCTTTTCTATGTAGAATTTATTTATTTATTTGTATACCGTTCCAAGTATGTAAGTATATTTATATAACCAAAATTTTTTCTTTGGTATAATAAATAAATATAAATCTCATTAAGTCATTCTTTATATAGTACAATAAATATAACATGGGTGGTAATCATGATATTTGGAATCATATTACAAAAGATTGGATAAAACTTTAATAAGCAAGGACGTACTCAATGTAATTACTGTGATCATAAATGTAAGAAATCAGCAGTAAGATAATATTTAATAATTTCTGCATTGTTTTTTTGTTGGACAAAAAATTAAGAAACCCGCAGATTTGTGATCATATCTCGCGCGGGATGCGCATCACGTGCGTGATACGCAGGATTTTTGGAGAATTGTCCATCTCCACTGATGATCTTAAATGACCTTTATGGTCTGCCATAGTTATGATGATTGGTGACTTTATACCTTTTTAATATAGCAAAATTAAAAATAGTAAAAAAATTTGATTTGTATTTAATATGACCATATATAATGACAAAAAATCATTATTACATGGTCAAGGTCATTAAAAAAATACGTCACAAATCAACGCATTCAAATAATTTATGATTGCTTTTCAAAAATTTACTTGATCGTGACTGTACTAAAGGCTTGGGTTGGATGTGATATATCTTTTGAAATCACAGATGCTCAAATAAAATTTTCAGTTTCTTATTTCATAATATTATCGCAAATAAGTTTTATCAATTTATATTTTGATAGTTTTCACGTTTTTAGTCTATGCCTCAGAAATACAAATATAAAGATTATTGACCTATCACGTGGATAGTTTATATTTTTATCAAGTTTTATAGTCATTCTGACAGATACATCACTCTGGATCACTCTGTATGAAATGAAGTAATACGATGAAAGCATTTATTATGTTATCGATATATATTTGTATCGTCATATAGTAATAATGATCCCGTGATCTTGGTAATAGTGATTAAGGATTTTATAATTATTTATATTTGTTAATAACAGTCTTTATAATATTTAGCGATTATATGTTCAACACGAAAGATGACGCACTTTAGTAAGAAAAAACTTGCCGTTTTTTTAAACCTAACTTATATTAATAAAATTCAGTTGAAATTTTCCAAAAAAAGTTCTCATGTTACACTAGATCTTGAATTTGATTGGATCAGATTAAAAATTTTATCGATAAAGTTGTGGCTCAGCAAACGTCGATCATATAATTTAAGATTTTGGGGACATGATTTTTTGGGGCCAGAAAAATTTTTTTAATTTGTCTTCGAAATTTGTACATACGTGATGTCAAAAGTTAAGCGTGGGTGTACTAATTGATTTTGTGAAAAAAAAACGGTATTGGAAAGCGGTTTGGTTACTATGCAGCAACAGACAGCGGAAACAACGAATCTGGAAAAACCACAAGAATGGCATGAAATTTTGAGTGAATTCTTTTTGAAAGTAAGTAATGTTTATATACATACATATATATATGCTCGTTGTAAAATAAGTTTCTTGTATCTAATTCTAATTTTGAAATGAAATTTTTTTTGATATAGATCCAAATGGTTGAAACAAATAGGGCTTTCCAAATGGAATTGGTTGTTCTTTCTTCTGAACATGAAAAACAAATAGCAAAATATTTAGATCGGTTATTACAAGAATTGACAGTGAATTATCACTTTTTTTTTTTTGTTTTTAAAAATTTGATCATTCAAAAGCTTGATCCTTACTGAAAAGAATTTAAATTATTTGTTATAGTCATGGAGATCGAGAATTGAGATCGATGAATCAACATCATCTATTAAGAGAAAGAATGATCAAGAGGATGGACCACGGAGTACGTACATATTTTAATTTATTACATTAACACACATACATGTTTTAATGGATATAACTTTGTATGAATTTAATGTTTAGTTGAAGAGAATGAGAATCCGGCAAAAAAAATTCAAAAGTTAATGGATCCACAAATTGTTCAAATCAAGGCAACTAACTCGGAGGTAAAGTTTTAAATATTAATGCGTACTACATAATAACGAAAAGTAATTGATTTATTTTTGATTTTATACTTTTTTTTATATTATATACTTTTAGATCGAGCAGAAAATCGATACATTCATTAATCACAAAAAGTCCGAGATTAATGATAGTAATCGGGCAGAATTTTTGCGGAAATCGAATAATCCCGAAGGTATTATGTAGCATATGATATTACATGTACCTGGAGGTACCTAAAAATTTACTTATTACGAATTATATAATTATATATATAGATATTATATCATGCGCTCGTTCTGATGCAGCAGAGATCAACCGCAATATTCAAATGAAGCTTGATGTTGTAAACAATGAAGATGGTCCTTTAGCACGCTCAACGTTTTCGTCATCACATCAACGGAACGAAGGAAATAAGACATCAGCAACTTATTTATCTTCAGGTGTTGAGGAAAGAATACAGAATATTGAAAAACATTTGAATGTACAAATTGGTAAAAGATATTAGGTTTAAATTAGATTATGGTTTTTTTAAGATTTTTTTAACAAGACATTATTTATGAAATAAGTTACACCGGTTCCTCTGGATGTTTATACGAGAATAAAAATTTTAGAAGATAAAATTATGCAACTCGAAAGAGAATACCCACCTTGGGCAGCTTTAAATTTTAATCAACCCAATAGACAGGTAGGTAACAAAAGATTATAAGTATTATACCAGATATCTAAACGTTGACAAATATTGACATGAAAAAAAAACATTAATTAGCTGCCACCACCACCCGCTACGATTATTTCAAGAAACGTAAATAATGAAATAATTAGCAATGTGACATCAACAACATTAGGAAAGAAAATAGCACCGAAAATTGCAGCAACACCCATGTCTACTACTAATTCAATGGCTGATGTAAGAACAATTTTACCAGCCAATTCAACACAACAATTATTTAAATTATCACGTACACCACGTCCGATTAAACCAAAAGGGAGAGAACGCGGGCAAACATCATTAACACGAACAATAATGGAACAATTAAGGCCAATACAGTGTGTAGACAGTGAACAACAAAAAGATGATAGTATAGTTCTTAATGAGTCTACAGAGAAACCTTTTGTAAGTTCATAGATTTTTAGGAAGCTATTTAACTAATACATTAGAGAGCTATATTTATTGATGATGTTTGAAACGCGTGGAAAAAGATTTAAAAATATATATATATGTGCATAGAATTAATTTTAAAAGAGAAACTTAATGTTAAGAGACAAATTATTTGATCTTAACGAGGTCATAAAAAAAAAACCTTGGAATTAATAAAACTTACTATAAATTCAATCATGTGTTTATCTGATATATTTATATTGAGCGATGTAAAAAGCCGATTGTCAATTTGCACTGCTTTAAAAAAATATCAGAGTTTATTTTTATTCGGAGTTCTCATTAGTGCCTTTACATCATTTTTGTCAAGCAGATATATACTTTACAATGTTATAAATGTATTTAACACTTTGATGAAGAAACGATAACCTCTAAATGACTAAAAGCGTATTAATGTTTTGCATCAATTTGATAAGCAGATGAGATTAAAAGTTTTATTATCCATCAGTAACAGTTGTAACATTCAGAAGCAAATATTAACAATAGTCACAGTAGTTAATAAGAAAAAAAAATTTTTTACAAGAAAATATTTTGGTGAAAGCAGTATTGAGAGGATTAAAAATGACCTCACATGTAAAAAAAAAAAAAAAAAAGCTAAAATTTCTTATAAAAGGGAATCATAAAAAGCATAAAAGAAAAATAAATTTGAAGCGTTGTTTTATTTTTCATAATAACAAAGTAAAAGTAAAGAAGTAAAGAACCGTATTCACAGATAGATTTTAACCTCCAAAACCATAAAGAGTACGGCCTTGGCGTTTAAGCGCATAAACTAAAAAAAAAAACGATAAAGAGAGCATATTAGTAATGAATATAAAAATTGTACGAAAAATATAAAGGAATGCGAAAGAAATGTGAAAGAATGTAGAGATGTGCAATGCAAATGCTAATGCTAATTAGAAAGGCATGCTCTACATATTAAAGAACATATTAAAGAACTCACCGACGTCAAGTGATGTGACAGTTTTACGTTTCGCGTGTTCGGTATAAGTGACAGCATCCTTTAAAAGAAATAAAAAAATGAAAATAACATAGTTTAGTATATATATATACTTTTCCTAAAAAGGCAATAACCGGCAAAGAACTTTGCCTTCAACGAGAGAAAAACAAGAGACAGGTCGAAGGAAAAAAAATATATTTTAACATACTCGAATAACATTTTCAAGAAAAACTTTTAATACACCACGAGTTTCTTCATAAATAAGGCCCGAGATACGTTTAACACCACCACGGCGTGCAAGACGACGAATAGCAGGTTTAGTGATACCTTGGATGTTGTCACGAAGAATCTTTCTATGACGTTTGGCTCCACCTTTTCCGAGACCTTTACCACCTTTACCACGACCGGTCATTTTTTATTTAAGATATAGTACGAGAAAAACCAAAGATATTTTTGCAAAACAAATAGTGTTGAATTAATTAATAAAATTTGTTTTTTTTTTTTTTTTTTTTTTTCTGTATGAGAAAACTTGAAAGGGGAGAAAGTGAATATGTGTAATTTCTCAGCTAAAAACGGTAAAAAGTACCATATATAAATATAGGAGGGGGGCGCAAGTTCAGTTATAAGTGGTTACTCAAACATTAGCTGATTGTTGTATAAAAAAAAAACCTCATTTTTTTAGTATCATTAATACTTTTATCCACCTGATCGCGAAACTCCGAGCAATCGACCTACCTCATAACAATAGTGTGGATCGAGCACTGGATCATGTGTACAACTTTCAAACTCAACGTGTCTGACGCATTCAGCATAAAAAGTAAATAATAATTTACTTTTATAGAACTCCTTTTAAAGGAGGCTCGTGTTTATTTGATTATTTTTGTTTATTGTTTCCTGTGATACCACAATAATCTGTCAAATATATATCTTTTAACGTTAAGCTTTAAACATTCTGAGTTTCTCTGTGAAATGAGAACGTACGTACGTACGCATCATATGTACGTACGTATTTTACATTTCTTCTTTTATATCATTTAAACGAAATTAGCGAATCAATAAATCTTTTCTAAGAATAATTAATTACTGTATTACGACTATTACAATGTTTTTAATGCTAAAATTCTTAAACGCATGTACATACGTCTATGTACGTACGACGTTACATACGTGCCTAAAATGATGATTCAGATTTATTCTTTATCAATTATATCAGTACATCGATTGTCATACAGAATTAGCCGAGTTGGTTCCGAACTAACATGTTCCGGAGCTTCTATGTCACGCGACTTGTAGATCAAAATTTATTTATTTGTTTACGAAAGAAAAAAAAAAAGCCGAAAAAATAAATAAAGTATATCAATATTAACGTAATAATGATGTTAGTAATGTAGTATGAACATATTTTCCAAGGCTGAAGTGAAGACAAAAAAATCGATCGATAACAATACAAATTGTTATGAATTCTTTATGATTTTTGTTTGATTGGTTGATGTATTGGGTTTACCTAATTTATAACAATACTTTTTTGACTAATCTTAAAAGAGATTAAATGACAAATAATTTCGAAACGAAATTAATTATTAATACAGTATTGCTAGCTATATATAGTTGTATATATATATACGAAAAAAAAATTAAGATTGCTGCATTGTGGGGACTATTTAATTATAATATTTAATGATTTTATATTCTATTAAATTATGCAGGAATATAACTCTTTAGAAAGTTAAGCACGTATAAAGATGGTTAATTAAGTAGCAATTATTGAATTAGATGAATACGGAATACAAGTGACACTGAAATTAGGTTAAAATATACCAAGGTTAAAGTTCCACTACTATTTATATATTAAAAAATTCTTTAACTTGATTAGTCATTGCTTTGCTCTACGTAAGAGTAGATAAATATCTTTCTATGTCTAATAAGGTCGAAAAGTACCATGATATATTTGATATTGACATACATTTATACTGTAATATATATTGTATTGTACTGTATATACTCTTATACTTTCTTTACTTTTATCGACTTTTAATGACTTTTTCGAGATTATATTTTACTCTAGTCGAGATTACACACATTTATTTTTATTCACTCTTGTCAAAATTATAATTACTGATGATGGATTTAGGTGCATGTACCGGATCTTCCAAATTATCCACGTGACCAGTTAAGAGATATCACAATAAAAAAAAAAACGCGTCGATGTATATAAGCAGCATAGAGTTATCGTTTCATCTTGTTTTCGCTCTAACTTTGATCTAACTTTGATATTATTAAAAATGCCGAGACTCCCTGCAGATTGTCTTTCTATAATATTTAGCCATTTTTATGATGACTTAACAACTCTTTATTCTTGTCTTTTAGTAAACACTTTATGGTGTGCAACTATTATTCCGATATTATGGTCAAATCCTTGGAAATATCTTTATGAATTACTTCCAAATGGGTGTCTATCAATTGATCGTAAACGATCGACTCAAGTGGAAATTCAATCCTTATTACTTTTAAGAACTCTCTCTGCTTGTTTCTCTGCTGATTCTAAACAATTTTTACGTAATTACGGTATTCGTATCAATCATGGGCCTCCTCTTTTCAATTATGCAAAATATTGTAGATCCTTGAATACTTACGATATAGATTACATGTTAAGAAGGGCTCAGAGAAATCATCTTTGCTTTTATACTGAAGATACGAGAGACTTTGTAGGATTGGAAATTTACAAATTATTATTTCATCAAAGTTCTATAATAACTTGCTTATATATTTCGCATCAACTATCTCCTATATATTCTCAAATTTGGCTATTTCCTGGCGCTTCTTCTTGCTTTTCAACTTTAAAAGAATTATATTGTTACGAACCATACGCGATCGATTTAAATCTATTTTGTTGTATTGCTGATGTTACAACTAATATCAGGAAATTATCCATTAATAGTAAGATATATATACATCATGATGAAGGATTGATCGACCTCATTTCGAATCAGAATGATCTTGATTCTTTGAGCCTAACAAACATTTCTAGTAGATTATGGTTAAAAGTCGCTGATGCTTTTACTTCTGGATATGCGATCTCTCTAACTCATCTTTATTTGAAATCATTTGATACTTGCTTTCCTGCGTTTGGTATTTCTAAATTACAAAATTTACAATCTTTGATTATAACTTGTCATGAAATCGATTGGTCTGGTATAGCAAATGCTCGCTTTCCACTTCTGGAAATTTTAGAATTTGGAAGATATTTTCCTTCAATGATAATCTTGGCTTCAATAATTTCTAGAACAGACAAGACGCTTAAAAGGATTTATATAAGCAATTATCCATGCGTAGATCCAGAGAATTCTACCATGTTTTTTCGTGCTATCATTGATTTTTGTCCAAACCTTAAATATCTTAGTGCTCCATTCAATTCTATTACAGATGAAACAATTGAAAATATTAGTTGCATGTTGGGTTCATGTTATCATTTAGAAGGTCTCGCTCTACGAGCTCAGTATTCGCCTCTGGATTCATATAATGAACATTCACTTGATGGCGATATACTCCTTAATCTTTTTATTGATCATGCGCCGAATACTTTATGTAATATTAAGTTTGATTATTCTGAAGATCAATGTGAAACTGCTTTGACGTTTAGTTACACTGCAATTAAATCATTTTTAATTAATTGGGAGAAACGAAAAAGGGTGAAGCTCGGACTTTCTATAGTAATAGAAGATTTTGATATGCATACCCATGAATTACATGCGATAGAAGATATGCTTTATGAATATCGTATTAAAGGTGTTCTTGAAACATGTAAATTGATTCCAAAATCCCCTTTAATTTTCTCGGTTCGTGCTGAAGATTGGCAAAGATTTATTCATGACGATTTTACCTAAAATTAAATACTGCATTTATTACTGTATTATTGATTTTTATTACAGTATATAGTTTTATAACTGATAAATTTAGTAAATCATACGGAAATGATAGATCCGAAAAAAATTTTATAATATTTCAATAAATCGATTTGAATTGATCATGTCAATATTTGGTGCCTTTGTTAAATGTAAAGTCGATATCAAGATGCTATCAAATATGTTGTCATTATACATTAATATACACATACATACTGCATACAAATACTATCATACTCAGTGCACAAAATCGTATCCTGATTTTTTTCCAGCAAAGTTTCTATTAAACGGAGTTTTGGATCTGCAGCCGGAGACATTAACAAATACTCGCTTTTTATTTTTGTGAATATAATCTATTACCTATACTCTAATGAAAGTAACGGAAGTTTTCCGATTTCTAAAAAATTCTGTCGGAACCTCCGGCAATTTACAATAGAATTTTGTGCTCTTATCATATAATTTTATATCAAATATAAACTATTATCAATATACTATCAATACTTTCATCATTTGCTGATCTTTACATATATATTACATATGCACATATATATATACATATGTATATCCATCTACAAATATATATAAAAGGTCATTGTAGTGATTTACGGATCAATCATTATCGTTATAATGATTCATAATCGCTTATCCTTACTCGTTTCCGCGAATTTTAAAGCCCGTTTGTTCAGGATTGGTTTTAACTGTTCACGTCGCTATTCTACTTCAGGTATAAAATATATTAAACTTATAGCTTTAGATTTTATATTAATCATATTTATATTTTATATATGTTTAAAAAGATGTAAGATGAAACTTTTTCTCATTACGAATTAAGACCGTATAATAATTTTTTGTGTGTTTATTCTAGCGTTCTAAAAATGATACAGTAGGGTTTATTGGACTAGGCTTAATGGTACTGTAAAGTATTAGAATGATTTATGTGTTATTGTTACTACTGTATTATTAGTATTCACTTTATAGCTCGATATTATAAAAAAAAATTTTTTTTATATAGGGTTTCAGAATGGCCAATAATTTATATACTAAATCCAATTATTCATTGGTTATTTATGATATAAATAAATCTAGTCTAGAAAAATTTACTTCTTTACATTCTGCAACTATTTCTCAAAAACCAATTTATTATGCTAACTCACCTGCTGATGTTGCTAAAAGAGCATCTGTTGTTATTACTATGTTACCATCTTCACCTCATGTAAAAGATGTTTATTTAGGTAAAGATGGTTTGATTGAAGGATTAGATGAACAAAATTTCTTTATTGATTCTAGTACTATTGATCAAAGTGTTTCAAAAAATGTTGCGAATCAAATAATTGGTAACGGTGCGAGACAAGTTGATGCACCAGTTTCTGGAGGTAATCTTTTTTTCTATTTATGTATATTTTAACGGATATTGATCTATTTACTAATTATAAAAATATATATATATATATATTGCACATGTATATATTTTATTTATTACGTTATTAGGAGTTGTCGGTGCCGAAGCGGCTACTTTAACATTTATGGTTGGCGCATCAACTGAAGCCGACTTTCTAAGATCTAAACCTTATTTAGAATATATGGGCAAGAACATTGTACGTTGTGGAGGACTTGGTACAGGTCAAGTTGCTAAAATTTGTAATAATATGCTTTTAGCAATTTCAATGATCGGTGTATCAGAAGCAATGAATCTTGGTATACAATTAGGAATTGATCCTCAATTAATGGCAAATATATTAAATACAAGTTCTGGTAGATGTTGGTCAAGTGATACGTATAATCCATGCCCAGGTATTATGCCAAATGTACCATCAAGTAAAGATTACGAAGGTGGTTTTGGTAATGCTTTGATAGCAAAGGATATGAGATTAGCTGTTAATGCTGCTAATGATATTCAAGCTACCATTATTTTGGGTGCTGTTGCTCAGCAAATTTATAATGTTTTGTCTAAATCTCCTGGCTATGAAAAGAAAGATTTTAGTTCTATTTATAAATGGTTGAATGAAAAGAATGGAAAGAAGTAAACTTAATTTCTTTGTATTCGTGAAGGAAATTATAGAATAATGGAATAAATATGTTTTTATTTACATTATAACATAATTTTTATTCTTTTATTATTTCATTGGATTAATTTTGCCTAGATATACACAGGTCGAATGAAGGCAAATATAGCACCGATCGGCATCACGTAATCCCGATATGGACTTGATTTGAAACAGATATTTGGCGCAAATGCTGAAATGGGAGGCCTTTAAGATACAAATCGTGTTCATATAGGCGTTCAATACATATCGGAATGCCGATAGCTCTATTGGTAAATCGATAAAGGTTGCCTTATAGCTTTATCCTATATGAACCCGATTTGTATCTTAAAGGTCTCCCATTTGCGCCAAATATCTGTTTTAAATCTTCATATCGGGATTACGTGATGCCGATCGAAGCCCGATTTACCTTCATTCAACCTGTGATAGTTGCAAGTTTTTTTTATTTAATTCTCTATAGAACAAATATTCATTCTCTTACCTATATTTGTTAATGATTTTGATTTTGCAATATGATATTAAATATTAAATGGTCTTAAGAATTTTTGAAACATATGTATAATATATTTATTAATACCAAAAAAAAAAAAAAAGACATACGGTAGCTACCATAGTAAATGTGAATATTCTGGTAAATAAAATACTATCTAATAGTTAGAATTAAATAAATTTGGGCTGTGTAATACAGTACCTGTTGAGATTAGTAAAAAAAACTATAGAAGTTTTTATAATAATAATGATTTTGGAGGTAATACATTAAATAAAATAGATGCTTGAGTAGATAGCAAAAATAACGATAACTTAACTAATAATCTGGAGTAGTGGGAAGGAACTCTTATTTTGTTTCTTAGGGTTTGGAAAATTCCTTCTTTTAAACCCGCTACTCTATTTAATAATGGGGTGATTCAGAATTAAGGATCAGTTTCTGATTTCGAATTGTATGTATTTCGAACTCAGTGGTTCATAAATCTTATTTAGGGTGTTCTCAAGTAGCACACTCAATTAATTAGATAATGATCGTAATGGTGCTCAACCGTTATGTAAAATTT